GTGGGAGTAGCGACTCCTTTGGTGGCACTTCTCTGATGGCTTCACATGGTAGTTGAGAGATGGTAGGGGATTTTGGTGTGTCGAGGGTGTGTGCTCATCCTTTCCAGACATCAACATCTCTTGGCGCATAGTTTTCATCATTTCATCTTTTGACCTCATCTCGGCTTGCAATTGTCTCGATGGGGCCCTTAGTTGCGTCATCGCGTCTCTATAGGGTTATGATATTTCCTCATCAATGCTTGGAGGTTCTTCTTACTCATCACTGGGAAGCAAAGAAATAATGGAGGCTTTGGGGCTGATTGCCTCGAAAGCATCTTCTCCATTTGAGGTAGTATACTCTGACAGATTTTGCTCATTAAATGCCTCTTGTTCAATGAAATGTTCACTCATGGGTCCATCTGCTACTTCAACAACCTCGTCGATAATGGACCCTGGGCTTTCCCTTGAGCCCGTTTCACCTTTTAAGGCATGACTATCTTCATCATTGAATGAGTCTGTGAAATTCTCATAAAATGGTGAGGTCATGTCATCATTATAAAAAGGAACACATGAAGCTTTCGAGGTAAGGGGTGAGCATACAATCAACCTCATAGGGAATCATGGCACCTTCGAGGCATGGGGAAGTCACTTCAGTGAGGTTTCCAGTAGAGGCGACAACTTCTTCCACTATTAGGGAGTCGTTTTCCTCAAATGAGAGTGATGAGCTCTCATCAGAGGATGGGGTAATTGGCATAGTGAAGGTAAGGGAGCCCGCATCATCGGAATCAGGTTCCTCACAATCAAACAAGAATATGAAGCTCTCATATGATGGTGAGGCTACATGGTCATCAACAAGGGCACATATAGGGCTTTTAAAGCATGGATAAGGCATGCAATCGGCCTCACAAGGAATCATAGCACTTTCGAGGCATGGGGAAGCCATTTCAATGAGGTTGCCAATAGAGGGAGTATGGCTCAACTCATCTACTGCTAGGGAGTGGTTTTCCTCAAATGAGAGTGACGAACTCTCATCAGAGGGTTGAGTTATTGGGCGAGTGAAGGTAATGGAGGCCACACCATTAGAATTGGCCAAAGAAGACTCTGGTTCATCAAATCTCCGAGATTCTAGGACAAATCTGGGTAAAGGCTAGAGGAGTTGAACAATGTCAAAGTTCATGAGGTTTATCTTGGCAATGAGACCCTCAAAGCAGTTTAGTAGTATTGACTTGCTCTTCGGTTTCAACCTGGGGAGCAGGACTATAAGGGAAAACCTTAAATGGATGTGTCGGGTCATCCTCTTGCGATATGGCAATGAGACTGACCTCTTTATAGTTCAGAACTTGCATCATCCGAAGAACACTTTCTTCAAGTGAGCACAAGACTGCCTCTTTGGAGGGGGCAACATTGTTGTTTTCTGGATGTTCCACAACCTTCTTGGGGTCAATTTTTGCCTCTTCGGAAGCTGGAGAGCCGCCGCCACATAGGAAACTCCTCATTAATCCAGGAAGAGAAAACCTTGGCTTCTTAATCACAAGTGGCTCGGGCCTAACTAACTTAGTTGGATCTTTGTCTTGGATTTGGACCTTTGCCACATTTGTGATTTCGGCTTCCACTTTACTTGAGACTTTGTGGCTGCCCCGAGTTAATGCCTTCCGACTCAACAAGAGCCTTAGTGAGACTGCTTTGGGCTCATGAATTGCCCCAAGCTCAGATTGGATTGGCATAGGCTCCAGCATTATGACATGGTCGGATCTAATTGGTTCAGAAAGGCCATTGCTTTGGGTGCGTTGGCATGAAATGGGCTCGGGTGTAGTTTCTTTCAGGCTAACCATGTGGCAAGCTTCTTTGGTCTCATTAGCACCAAAGGGCCCAAGAGGGCAGAAGGAGTTTTTCTTTTCCAACGGGTTACATCTTTGGTTGAAGAGGGGAGACCTTTTGTGCTCTCCTTCTTTGCCTCTGATTCGGGCCTTCAATGTTTTGGTCACCCGGCCCTATATCCAGGCTTGACCATTATTTTTCTTCTTGATTGCCCCGTAGAACCACCTCTGAATGAATGCAAGCAGTTCTTTCTACCTTTTATGGGTGGGATCAATTTTTAAGATGGGATGTGTAATGAAAGGTTGTTTAGCACGTTTTAGAAAAGGGGTTTTGCCCCGAGCCCATCCTCAATGGCCGGCAAATAACAAGGGTATCGAAGAGGATGACAAAAGGGTATTATGAGGGAAGGTTTTTGAATAAGTCATAAGAGGCTTAGGTGAAGAAGATGGGTTGAAGAAAGTGGGGAACGGATGTTGCCTGCTCTTTCCCTTGAGTCTAGGGGGAATGGTGGACTTGCGGGTGTACGTACAGTCTGAGGACGGGTTGAGGGCGGATTTGGAGCCGACCCGTATTTGAGCAGATGGTCTGACCTTAGCAGTGGCGATCGTTGACCGTGTGTACGAGGAGGCAACCTTGTGGTCGCCGCTCGCATGATAGGCCTGCATGTACAATTCAAACCTACAACTAAGCCATTGACCGTGTGAACTGCTGGGTCAGTTTGAGAAAGTGAGTGTGGATTATAGTCCATAATAGAAGATAGAGTGCTTCGGCAAATTAATAATTCCTTGACTTAGTTGGATCCAAATCCCATCAAAATTATTTAGAACTGATTATTTTGATGTTAAATGATTTTTAGATTGATAGTTTGAATTCTTAAAAGTATCTTGACATTTTAGTTTCTCAAAATGGATTTATAAATAGAGAAATTGAATTTTCAGTATCTTAAATATTCAAAAAGAAAATAAAATAATTATTTTTTTCTAAAAATCATTTTACTATTTTTTATAAAACACATAATATGTGGGGGCCCACTAGAGGCCCCATATGTGGCACGCCCCACTTAAGGGGGTGTTTCCTATTTATAAGCTTGTAAAACAAGTCATTAATCAATTAAGAGAAAAGGGAAAGTTTGGAGATTAAAGGATTTAATTTTCAAGTTTAAATATGTGCAAGAGAGAATATGAAAATAAAAGGTCTATGTTATTTATTTTCCATATTTTGTTTATTTGACGGGATTAAGTTAAGGAAGCTGAAGGATAATATTTTAGCACCTTTCGTTTAATCATGATGGCTGATCTAAATATTGTATGACTAAGATGTCTCACCCTACAGGTTTCCTTTGACCAATAGTCTGGATCTTTTCTCCATAAGGTTGGCTAACCCTAAAAAACCCTAACCCTAGAGAAAATGTATAAATAGGTATCACCTCCCATCCCTCTCTCTCCCCCCTCACAAGATGGCAGGTCAACTTCTCTCATCTCTATTTAAGATCTCTCATCTCTCTCTTTCCTCCATTAAGAAATCGTAATAAGAGAAACAGGGGGCAGGCCCCAAGCTTTGTGAAATAGGAGGCACGCCCCAAGCTTGGTGGAAGGGGGGTAGGTTACTATACTAATTGAGACCTAGCTTATCATATTAGATATTGAGACTTAGGGTACTGTACTAAGTATTGAGACCTAGGGTACTATATTAGGTATTAAGACTTAAAACCTTTCATAATAGGTATTGAGACCTAGCGTACCAAGCTTAGGCATTGAGACCTAGTCTTGTGATTGCTCCACCATTGCTCTATGATTTGAAACGGTTGGTAGCTTGAGGTTTCTCATACTTTAAAAGATAAGACCTTGATCCCATGCATCAATAGAGGAGGAGATCCACAGTGGGGTGTGCAAATCTAGTTGAGGTAATTTTCTGATAATTTACTTTCTATTTATGTCGTTATATGTTTCATGATTCTAAGATCAATTTTATACAATTTTATCTATACAATAAAGAGTTGTGAAAATGGCAGGAAGTGAGAGTCCTTGAGATTCTTTGGTTTTATTTTATTGTTTCTCATTATATAATTGGATATCTGTAAGTAATCTAGGTGGTGAAAATAAAAAAAAATTAATCAGTATACATTATACACTTGCATAGTCCAACTTTCACAAACCCGCCCACAGATTCTGTAGCCGGTCCATCTTGATAACACTAGGTCCATGAGTGCTTACCATGCGTAGAATTTCTTTCGATATATATTTAAAAGGATAATTTGGAATGTGAGTGGTATAACAAGTAAATATAAGCCGGATGTATTCACTTGTTGTTATATTTACTTGTTAAATGGGAGTAGGATAGACCCATGGGGAGCCAGTTCTTCCACCAATTTATCAAGAGCATTATGAACAATTTAGACTGTTCATCTATGTATCCTGTGGGTCGTAATTTTATTCATATCTTGAGACCGCCAAAGAACCAGGAGTAATACAAAATCTTCAGATTCCTGCCTCCACAAACCTCCAGTTGGAAATTTAGAAGATTAAAGAGGTGCCCAATGAGGTTCAGTAGTGCACGCATGTCCAGTTTCCACACGTCTTGACAGAAGGAAACCCTGCAGCTAGTGTTACCATCAAATTTTATTTTCGGGATGGTTTACACTGCTAATTTGAGTTAAATGCTTTTCAATGTGAGTGAAGCTCTCATTCCTGGTTGTCAAGTGAATTGCGATGAGGGCCTTCTTCAAATAGTGTACATCCTCTCAAACAAGTCCTTGGTTTGCACTCTCATGTACCATCTCTCTCTAGAGCAAACACAAGAATACAAGAAGGCAGGGCGCGAAAGATGGCTTACCTATAGCCTAGAAAATAAAATAACAAGAAATTCCTGCATTTGAGAAGTTCAGTGTACTTTATAAGAAACCTTTTGGAAACCCTTGTGTAGTAATTCTGTCTAATCAGTGAGGAACTTTCCAAAATCCAACTCCATGCAGTAAACCACTAGAACCAGCAAAAGCATCCATGGTTTTCAATATATGCTACAATTTTAGATTTCCTTTTCTGAAGTATAACCGCTACCATTTTAGACAATAAATCGACTTCCAATCCCAAATGTGAAATGCCTTCGAACCAAACTGTGAAACTCCAACTCAAATCTGGGTTCACTGGAATTTATTGGAAACCTTCTTACTATGAAGCATCGCAAACTCAAAAAGCGAATGTTGATATTTCCAACCCACATAGCTTTATTTTGACATGCCATCGAGTTCCAACCCACATAGCTTTATTTTGATATGCCATCGAGTTCCAACCCACATAGCTTTATTTTGACATGCCATCGAGTAAAACGATAACATCACTATTTTTCTATCTGCAACTGCCAGAATAACAATCGCTAATATGCCGATCTGTATGTGAGGCATATCTTTTTTATAAATCACAAGACAAAATAACTATTTGCAAATAAATTAGGAACAAAAGCAACTTTGAGATTTGCTCCAAGAATTAGTTTCAGACATTGCCATTTGAGACCCCACTGAACTATAAGATGTATCCTTTCAATTGTACTTCACAGGGTCTCTGGCTTAATGCCTTCACTGAAAGGTGCTCTTGTCAAGTTAATTTGCATCCCATCACGAAGTTTCACACGCTTTGATGACTTCCTATGCACAAATATCTCCCATTCTTGATCATGTTGACAATAAAAAATTATGCTTCTCCAGGAGAATGCTCAGGTCGGCTTGCTCCAAAATCCCACAGATCTTCAAGTTCTTTTTTAAGCCAGCCAAGTACAATGATAAGACCTAAACCACAAGACATTTCAGAAAGGTAACCTTTATACAACACTACCAATATATCTGCAGTTTTCTAATCAATTTGTATCTAATTCTTATATGCAACAAGCAAAGTTCCTTCAGATCCATACCTAATGTGCATGGAACAAGGTACAGCAATGCAGGTTGCCCGTGCCCATCCATCAAATATAGGGCAACATAAGTGATGAAGAGACCTGCAATAAGAGTTAAAATGACATGATCACCTAAGTTTTCATCATAATATCAAGAAAATACTATTGGGGAATAGTGGTAGTGATGGTCGTAGTAGTAGCAGTGGTGGTGGTGGTAGTGGTATTGGGGAATAGTAGTAGTAATAGTCGCAGTATTTCAGTTTTGGGGCAAATAACCCACTCAGAAAAGGGGGAAAAAAATCAGGGGGAGGGGGGGGAAATGTTTTTCAAGATCTAAACGGCTCCATAACGATAAGTGTGGCATATTTCATTAAAAATCAATTCGTTCCTCACAGGTTGCAAAGCCTATTTGAATTTTGTGAAAAGCATTTTTTTTAACATACGATTGCCAACATATTGATGCTTGTGGTTTCTATATTCCATTTCAATGCGTAACAATATCTAGAACATGCTCTGATCTCAACCATTTGAAATTTTGCAAAAATCTAATATGAGTAGAACTTATAATTACAGCTGGCTGAGCTCTCTTATGAGCTAGTCAAGTTCTCCACATGGAAAAGCCACTGATAGACACTAATTTGCGTTAAAACTTGTAACACATCCTAAGTTACTTTAACCCACATCCCTGCTATTTACTTATTTCACGGGAGCTATAATGTTAACCTACAAGGTGGAAACCCTGCACCCTTCATATGTTTACCAAGGAATATTTGGGTTTCGTTCCAGTATTGTGAGCCTTGAGAATCAAGGCATAGTGTATGAGTGTATCAACAGCACTATATGCTTCACAGAAGATGTGTTTCTTAATCCTTTTCTTTTTCGATTTGTAGAGTTTGTCCAACTCCTCTGTCATAGAGGTCCAACAGTCCAAAAAGTCAGCGAAAACTTTATTTAATGGAAAATAAGAAGGCAACAAAGAATATGAAGAGCAGAAAGTCGAAGAGACATTATTCAGGTCACAAAAGCACTATGTGGAGCTAAATTATCAAAGGAAAAAAAAAGCATCATTGCGGAGCAGTCTTCTTACTTTCAACAAGGTTACTATCAATTTGCATCGAAGATACAACCATGAAAACAAAGTTTTTCAATAAAGCATGAAGACTGACATTCTTGTAGCATAATTGTGAGCTAAAGAAAGCCACAACAGCATGGATTATCAACAAAACCCTCACCGAGATGACATATTGGCAAACAAGCAACCAAAACAAATGCATGTAAGTGAGAACAAATAAGCAGCTCATGTGAAAGCAGTGTTTTAAAACCCGTATCAATAGGATGGACCATCCGCCCACAAATCTGTGTCAGATCACTAAATCGGTGATCCAGATCGGTTTGAATCAGTGAAATCATCATCATCAAAGCCTTTTCCCAACTATTTGGGTCAGTTAAATATTAAAATGTGGCGACACACTCTTAAGATGGTTATGAACATGAAAAGCAATAGACACCAAAATATAGTATATCATCATCATCATCATAGCATTTTCTCAATTAATTGGGGTCAGCTACACGAATCCTAGTCCGCAATTCTGCTCTGTTGAAGGTCATACCCTCAGTGAGGCTATAAGTCCCTATATCTTTAAGGGCTACTTCGAACTACATCCTTTTGGGTCTATCCCTTGCCCTTTTCAACCCTTCCACTCGTACTAACTCGTATCTCCTAACAAGTGTTGTACTAGGTCGGTGTCAGACATGGTCAGCCTACCTAAGTCTACTCTCTCTCATCTTATCACCTATTGGTGCCACACCTAAATTTTCCCGAATGGATTCATTTCGAATTATCCCTTCTTGTCATGCCACTCATCCATCTCAACATCTTCATCTCCGCTACACTCATTTCATGGGTATATTGTTTTTTGTCCACCCAACATTTTGTCCTATGGTGCAACACTGATATCACAGTTGTTCTATAGAACTTGCCCTTCAACTTCATAGGTATGCCGTGATCACATAAAATTTCAGTTGCATATCTCCACTTCGCCCATCCAACTCTAATTTTGTGTGCGACATCTTCCTCTATCTCTTAATTTTCAAGGATTATCGATCCAAGATATCGAAAGTGTGGTATTTTTTGTGCTTCATGGCCGTCAATATTAACTACTTCCTCGTCTCTATTCATATTATTACTAAATTTGCATTCTACATACTTAGTCTTAGTTCGGCTAATTTTAAAATATTTGGATTCTAGAGCATCTCTCCAAAGTTTTAACTTTGTGTTGACATTGTTTCGGATCACATCGATCAAAACGATGTCATCTGCGAACAACATACACTACGATACCTCATCCTGTAGGTGCCTGGTTAAGTCGTTTATAACTAAGACAAAGAGGTACGAGCTCAATGCTGAACCCTTGATGTAGACCTATTATCACTAAAAACTCACTCATCTGTCCACTAGTTGTTCGTACACTAGTTAACGCTCCATAGTACATGTCTCTCACCACGTCGATGTAGTGTCCGGAGACTCCTTTCTTTTTCAACACCTGTCAAATCAAATCTCGAGGTACTCAATCATAAGCTTTCTCTTGATGAATAAAGACCATGTGGAGGTCTTTTCCCTTCGTCTTAAACTTATCAATCAGCTGCCCAAGTAGGAAAATAGCTTCAGTTGTTGATTTTCCTGACATACAACCAAATTGGTTTTCAGATGCACTCATTTCATACCTTAGTCGTTGCTCAATCACTCTCCCAAAGCTTCATAGTATGACTCATAAGCTTGATACCTTGATAGTTCGAACAATTTTGTATGTCTACTTTGCTCTTATAAATAAGTACCACAATACTTTTCCTTCATTCATCTGGCATTTTCTTTGTTCTCAACAGCTTGTTGAACAGCTTCTTCAGCCGGTCAATGCCAATCTCCCCCATGCACCTCCAAACCTCTACCGGGATCCCATCTAGTCCTAAAGCCTTTCCTATCTTCATCATTTTCAAAGCTTCTTTCACTATCAACATCCTAATCCTACGAATGTATCTATGACCTCCACCCTCATTTATACCAATAGTTCTTTCTACCGCTATGTTCCCATTGTCTTTGTCATTTAATAAATTTTGAAAATAAACTCTCTACCTTTCGTTGACGTCATCATCCTTCACCAAGACCCTTTGATCCTCACTCTTAATGCATTTAATATGATTTAGATCCCTACATTTTTTCTCTCTTATTTTTGCTAATTTGAAGATATATTTTTCACCTTCTTTTGTTCCAAATTTATTGTATAGATTATCATATGCCTTAAGTTTAGCTTTACTTACTATTTGTTTAACATATTTCTTAGCATTTTTATATTACTTTAATTTTTTATCGTTTCTATTACATTGTCAAGTTTTATAACATGATCGTTTTCGTTAATGGCCTTCTAAACCTCATCACTCCACCACCAAGTTTCCTTTTCAAAATTTCTTTTCCCTCTCGATTCTCCTAAAACATTTTTTGCCATTTTCTTGACACAGTAAGCCATCTCATTCCATATTATATTGACATCATCTTTAGAGTTCAATTTTCCTTCTTCAAGTATTTATCCCAAACACGTCTATTATCTCATTTTTAAATTCCACCACCTAGTTCTTAGACACCCATTACTTCCACCCCTTCTCTTCGATGTCTTTATGCAGACATCCATAACCACGAGCCTATGTTGGGTAGTCAAACTCTCTCTTGGGATAACCTTGCAGTATTTACATGATGGTCGATCTACTTAACTAGGAAGAGGTCTATCTGGCTTTTATGTGATCCACTTTTACAGGTTATTAACGTCTCGCTTTTTAAAGTAAGCGTTTTCTATTGCTAGGTTGTAGGTCATAATAAAATCTAGAATAATCTCACCCATCTCATTTCTTTCATCAAACCCATATCCCCTATGTCCCCCTTCACATCCTCTACTGTCTTTCCCTACATGACCCTTTAAGTCCCCTCTCAAAAATTTCCTCTCTCCATTTGGTATGTCTTAGACTATTCTATCTATATCCTCTCAAAATTCTCTTAATTCTATCATCTAATCCTACTTGTGGTGCATAAGCATTAATTATATTAATTATCTATTCCCCTAATACAAAATATACTAGCAAATGAACAATGACAAAATCTAAGACATCCGTATTCTTTTATGTCCATGGCGTGCTACAATCAACAGCATCCAATAGCAATCGTGATACCATATACTCTTGGGATACTTGTAAACATAAAAAGATGTAATTACGGCCAATATAATATGAAACAAGCTCTAACTTATTATTACGGATCCCAGGCTATCACCATCAATCAAATGGATGGACACTGTAGGAGAGAATCAGACCAACCACATGGATCTTTCATATGATTCCAAAACCAATAGGTCAGAATTAATAAGACATGTGAATGACCAAATGTCATGTAATACCTAGTGTTTAAGACATTCTCAATGATTAGGAAGGCATTTTGATCATATTTTTCTAAATGGGCCTCAAAGCCCCTGCTCCAACATACCCTCATTCCATGAAACCTTAGACCACCAAACCACACCACAACCCACCTCTTCCCTCCCTCCCACCCATTCCCGCCTTCCCTCCCTCCCTCCCTCCCTCATTCCCTCTTCGAAAAAAGGGTTCCCCAGCCATGGATAGAGAGGATCCAGCTTGGTCTCAATAGAGCATATCTCAGCCAAAGGAAGGCATGTTAACCCTTCAAAGGCTGGGCAGAGCTAGGCACATTCCACAATAGGCCATGAATCGGAAGTAACACCTCTCTCCATGGCCATATGGCCAAGAGTGTATTGGTATCTGGGATATTCCTACAAAAGTTTGACAAAAAGAAAAACTCCAGCACATGAAGCCTCCATTGAACATAAAATAATCACAGACTACAGTTTCTTCCCTGTCCCCCTCCCCTTATCCTCCTCGATTGTGACATTCTCCCCGGGTAACCTCAGTTACTCTTACTACTCTCACTGAGTCTCAGTCAACACACACCCTCCCCTCTTTCCCTTCCTCATCCCCTTTCCGCCGCACAGGGCATTCAGGACGTCACTTTCAAGCCCGACCCATGGTGTACACAGAGGAAGGAA